ACAAACTGCCTTCTTAATCTATGGCATAAATAATCATTTGTTTTGAGTGGTTCTTCAACATTGCTCACTGTGGTAAATGAGAAGTTTCTGATGTGTAGTGGGTGAGCTTAGTGAGTTGAGGATACCTGAGTTCCAAATCTGGTTTGACATGTGATTTTTTTTTTTCTGAACTGCCCCCCCACCAAAAATTGCCATATATTCTTTATTTTGAACCAGATACTGTTGAATATTTTACACACATTATCTTATTTAAATTTTACCCCCAAATCCTATAAGTTACTAGTAACTTCATTTTATAGACAAGTAAGCTGAGCTTTACATAGTTGAAGTACCTTGCCAAAAGCTACACCATTAGTAAGTTGCAGACTCTGAATTTGAGGCCAGGTTAGCTGGACTCCTGTGTGGGGCCTTGAGCGAGCTGTGTGAACTAATAGTAACCAGGAAAAGGCAATAGAAAACAGCCATTATGTACGCAATTTGAGAAGAATGCAAAATCTGAAAATCTACTTATGCTAAATGGTTATCAATTTCCTCATCTCTAAATAGGGACATGCCCCTTCCCCCCAGTATTACAATGAACCAAAACAGACAATATTTAATTTTTAATTTACTTCAGTGTGTTTTATTTCCAAGAAAAAAAAAGTCAGCAGACTTTCCTAGGAAGATTTCATCAAATTTTATGAACTAATTGTACCCATCTCATTTAATGCAAGTTTGTTTGTCTCAGATGTTAATATCGATACTTACTTTTTAGGGTTTTTTTTGTCTTATCTTTGATGGGTTTTAAAGAAGGTCACTAACAGCTGTCTGGAAAACATCCTGAATGCATAGAGTTTGCCACAAATAAAACACTTAATGGAATGAATATATTCAGTTCAGGCATCTCAAAGGCACAAACAGCTACTGTGAAGCCAACAGAAGCAGAATACCTTGTATATCGGAGGTGTCACTACACGTGACACTCAAGTCAACCCTGCACATCCTCTGACCACCTTTTTCTCTTCCCCCCTCTGTCAGGTGCTCACCTGGCCTGTGGTGGAGATGTGGAAATAGGTGACTTTAGAACAATGAGACCTTTCCCAGAATGTATTGTGTGTGCGTTTGTAATGCCATGCCCTACTTGTATGGAAGTCTCTACAGGGACATGTTATTCTGTCATCCCAGGATACATATATAAATGGAAAAATATTAGCAATCTGTGTTCTGTGACCAGCTGCTTTTGCTTGTAATGCTTCCCAGCATTTTCCCGCTGCAGCTGTGAGGAGATGTGTGGCAGGCACTGACCCTCCGAGTGCAGGGGTGCACTTCGTGTCAGTTTCCCTCGCCCCCCAGTTCCCATGGGAAGGGAGCGGAGTCCTTCCTCCCCTTTCCCTTAATTCCCGACCCTGATTTCTCTCTCTCCTTCTCTGGTTCTCCCTTGAGCTCAGGCAGACACAACACTTGGGACCCTGCAGTATCCACCTCCCACTGGCAGCTTCACTCATTATTGCCTATTTTGAGTGGCGATGGGTTAGAGTTAATGCATTGATCATCTTTTTGTGACACCATGCCTTCCCTCTGTCTTCTGCTACACACACTTTCTTGGTGGGGAAACAATGACTCAGAAGGTGATGGTACATAAGTGGTAAAAGGTCTAATGAGAAACCCAACAAATGATGACAAGAGACTTGGCAGAAGAAGAACCACATGTAAAGGTCCCTTAGTGGCAGGTGAGGGTTATCTGGGACCTAGGAATGATTTGAAAGGATTGAGAGAATGTGTGTCTTCAGTATTTGGGGCAGCTGACTCACATGTGGTTGTGCAAAGCCCTGGAGAGTCTCCACCCTGGACGGACACTGCGGGCTGGGGGCTGGGGGCTGGGGGCTGCCAGCTGCCCTCTTCTTCGACATTCCTCAGAGGTGCTGGGAACTGATGCTGATGGAAGCACTCTGTGACCTTCAGGACCAGACAAGGGAACTCATGCAGTTATTTCAGTCAGAGGAAAGGAGCGGTGCTCACTCACATCTACTTCTGAGCTTTGACACCTAAAGGACTTAAGATGACCTGAACAAAAGGACAATTTAAGTGAACAAACAAAACAGACAGACTCATTGACAACTTAGAGAAAAGACTGTTGGTTGCCTGGGGACAGAGGGTGTGGGCTACTGGGTGAAAGAGGTAAAGGGATGAAGAAGTACAAATTGGCGGTTACAGAATAGTCACGGGGATGTAGAGTACAGCACAGAAAATAGTCAATAATATTGTAACAACCTTGCATGGTGCCAGATGGATGCTGTAAGGTATAGGATTGTCTAACCACTATGCTGTACACCTGAAACTAATAGAGAATAATAATGAATTGTAAACTATAATTAAAAAAAATGAAATAAAATGAAGTAAAAAAAATAAAATGACCCAAACCCTATGAAGATAGCATGTAATGGATGGCTCTTAATTACTCTTCTAAGGAATCCCATTCGCAGGGTTACACAGCCAGGTTACCCTGAAGTCATTACTCAAATAACCTGCTAACTGGAACGTATTGACATGAACTATCCACACGCTGCTCTGTATAGTCAGTTCCCGTCCCTTCCTCTCTTTAACGAGATGGTTCCTGTGTGTCTTGATTTGTCTACATTACGCCTTTTGGTATTGCTCAAAATCTCAGCTGGTTTTAGAAAGCAGCTATTTCTATCCCATGTAAAGTAGGCTGTTTTCTAAGACCTTCATAACATTGTGTTTACCCAGGGTACGTAATTCTTTTACCCAATATCTCCATGACAGTACTCACGTTTACAATACATGATTTTTACCTTATGTTCTTTGATTAAAATGCATTGATTATATGCATCTCATATTTCTACTTGATTAATATGGCATTCACACTCATAGTCATTTCCAATCATTCTTCTCTTTCTACCATGTTCTCTATTTATCTTTTTGTAAACAGTATTCCTGCCATGTAGTTTATTTGACCTGTCCTTGATGAATTAACAGGTGTGGTTTTTACATGCTCAGTGCTCAATGGCTGCTTTGTATTCATACCAAGGGGTATCATGTGGAGACGGTTCTACATACAATTCAGCTCTATGTGCCTTCATTCATCAGAGGTCTTGGGTGAGTCTGCCTTAAGGCAAGATGTTAAAAATGGAGGTGCACTACGGTAAAGGCGAGTAATAAAGAGCTTCTTGCTAGCCCAAGTTTAATTTTACAGCCTTCAACCCTCTCTGATCATTTGATAGTGAGCATTCCGCTTCAGCAGTAGGGGGCCTGCAGGAGCAGAGTTGCCCACCCAGGGAACGGCAGTGTTTGCTCCCTTGGGCTCAGGTTGGAGTTACGAGTGCTTTTGGTGAGGCGATTACTTATTACTGTGATGGCTACCGCACAACCACGGAATCTCCTCTGTGTGTTTGCGCTTCGATTTCTCTCTCTACATGGAAGGCATCCTCAAATATTAGCAAAACACATCTTATTAAAATTGAGATTGTGGTGGTAAAATAACAAGCAAAGCACTGATCCAAAATGTCATCCTATGTAGAAGTAAATTTATACAAGGATCCTTAGGCAGTGATTTTTGCTACAAGGCTTTGTGATTTAAGAATTGGAATCATTCAATGACTTTGGTTGTGTTTAAATGTTTGGGGCTTTGGCAGAGTTCAAATTCTGTTTTGCCAAGTGCGTTAATGTTTTTAATGCTAATTTTGAGGCCCATGACCATTTCATGGAACATTTAAACTGTATGGGATTTCTTTATAATTTAGTCATCCCTCATCTGCATAGGGCATCCAAGCAAATTAGTGAGTCTTCATAAGAACATTTGGAAGGAAAGGTTTGTGGGGTCTAAAAATTAAATGAGCTAGAAGCCTCAAAGACTGGAGTTGGTTTGAAAAGTTAAGCTCTTGAGCTATTAAAAAGATTTAGAAAATGGCTGGCTGTGTCTCCTTCAATTTTATTATTAAAAAATATTGTATCTAAAAAGTGTGTGTGTATGTGTGTGTGTAGATGTACATGAGACTGGATAATTTCAAGTAGAGAGAACTGTGTCTTAAAATGTTAATATTGTTTTCCTAGTGCACAGGCCATCCGTAGAGGAGCTGGCAGTAGGCCTGTTTCTACTATTTCCAATCCCGTGGAATCTCGAATGGTCATTTTATTCATTCATTCATTCATTCATTCATCCTTTTATTCATTATTTCATTCACTCATTCATTTATTCCATTATCTAGTCTTTCAACATTGATTAAGCAGCTACTTTGTTACTATGGTTGCTACTGGGTTTTAAGCTGGAAATGGAAGCTTAGATAGAATATGGGCCCCACCCTGGAAGGCCGAGTTGCTTTTCGGCCATGTAGTGAGTGCTCGGCCAGAGCCTGAATGTGCCGATTGGAAGCAATTTGCCCTGAGAACACAGAGGAGGACGTACAGGACTGTGTCCAGGAAGGGCCTGGAAGCCTTTGTGGGGACGGGGGTGGTGTTTGCAGCTGTGTTCTGACAGATGAGCCGGACAGGTGGACCAGGGCTTTCCAGAAAGGGACAGTGCATGCAAGGGTGAAGCTGCAGGGTGTATTCAGAGGACTCGAACACATCCCAGGTCATTGGGATGCAGGGTCCCTTTGAGGGAAAGAAGTGACATGTACTTCAATGGTGGGCAGGGGCCAGTTTTGGCCTTTCAGGCTACAGTTGGATTGTATCTGGTTAGCAAGAAGAAGTCTTTGGAGGAATTTATTTCTACAACTTGCTTTTTAAAAAAATTGTGGCCACAATGTGTCCTCTTATTTCCGCCTTCCTCTCTGATCTTTCTCCGAGGAACCTTCTCTTTGACACAGGTCTGAGGACTACGACCTGAGTGGAGACCTGCCTGTGGCTGCCCTGGCTGCGTCTTCCCCAGGCTCTGAGACTTCGGGTGTAAGTCCTCCATAAATGCTCCCCACCGGTGGGGAGAGCAGCACTTTCAAACTGTGATGCTGGCAGATCCACACCAGAGATTTTTACACGGTGGCAGAAACTTTTCTTTCCCAAATCATTTATTTTTAAAAATAAGAAATTTCATACTATTCCATGAAGCTGGAGGTAACTCTAGGTCTGAGCTAGAGATGAATATGCAGCATGAACCAAGGAAATACCATGGAGAAGATGGCTTTTCAAAGGCCGATGGGGGAGCTTGTAAGAAGTGGAGCACTGGCTTGTCTATCTCTAGGAGCTTTGCAGAGGTTTTGCAGAGAGGAAAGCTAATCAGGAGACCTGCATGGGGAGAGAGGCGTGTTATTTAATTAGCTTTACAATGGGCTGACTTGAAGGCACGTGGTGGTTTTAATAGAGGGAGATAGATGTCCTTCTTTGCAGGGCTAATTGTTGGGGAAAAGCAGGGTCTTTGTTCTGGCCCAGCATGAGGGCTCTGATCTCTTGGAGCCTAGGGCTGCCCCTGCTTATACTTTTAGACAGAGCTATTCAAGGCTGCTCTGTAGAGAAAAGAAGAACAAGAACAGTATTGTGTGTGCAGGATCAGTGCCCAAACCTCCCCAAAGTCACTAGGAAAAAAAAAGAAAGAATGAGAGGACCCGGCCATGTGCATTTTGGAGTATTTCCCCACCATTTATTTGCTACGCTTGTTGGAAAGGGCAAAGCTACACTTTAATCAACTTGGAGCTGAGGCGGGGTGACTTAACTAAGTACTCCCAGAAAACCAATTAAGTTCACTTTCCCAATGATATGGTGTTAATCTCGCCAAAACGGAACAAGCAACCAGTGTGAAGACCACATATATTCCATGCTGCCAGCTTTGATGGCTCGGCGCCAGGCACCGGTAGTGCCAGCAGACAAATTATGTAGCTGATGGCCGCTCAATAGTGAAATCTGTGTTGTGAGAGGGCAACAGACGAGCAATGATGTGCCGATGGCTGATGGGTGGCTGAAGTGGCCATGAGAATACCTTTCCCTGGGTTCTTTGGGCAACTGGTCAGCATAGGCAGTTGCCACCAGCAAGTTTTACTCATCTTTACTCAGCAAGATGAGTAAAACACTTCATCTGAATTCTGGGTAACAAGTCCAAGCTCAGAGGGAGTGCTATGTGGGTCCAACATCCTGGAACTAAACGCACGTGTATGGCCCAACTAGGGGTGGTTAGAGGTGCAGGTTTACAGCACAACTTAAGCTGTTAGAAAACTTTTGGCTGTTAGGAAAGGAGTTAGGTAAGGAAAGTGTGAGGTGGGGTCATACAGTAAAAGACTTGCATGAAGACAGTGCAGTGGTGTACTGCCTAACGGGTGCTGGTTTGGAGCCGGCCTCAGAGCATGGTATAGGGCGTGTGCTGGACAGTGTAGAAGATTCTGCTAAATGGCTGACCAGCTTGAAAGCCAACTGGCGAGGCTGTTTGTGGAAGATCTTGTTTTGCTCAGGTGGTACAAAATCGCTGAATAGGTACCAAACCTGCAACCCAGAGTGGAAAGAATCCAACATTGGAAGGAATCCTAGAGGGTACATATGTTTCTATTTGTTGCTAATGTATAATGTAGCTGTGAACACACGATTAGAACTTCCACAACCACATTTCACATCTATACAGTAGGAACCAATCCCCTTCCACCCAAGAGGCTTGGTGTCAGGATTTGTGCAGTTTGCAGACTCAGACCTAAAATTATCTTTATCTTTATGTCATGATTTTAATAGCACACACCAAGAGGGGCCACCGTGTCCTAATATCTTTGGAGAACACTATGTGCCACAGTTTGAGTGAACTTCCACAACAGTCTTATACTCACTACATCCAAAGTCACACTTAGGTTTTCAAATTAAAAACAGCAGTGAAGTGTTGTTGAGTGCACCCTCTGTATCCAACACAGTATGAGTCACATGACACCTATTCGATCCATGTTCAGTTAGACTCTGTGACCTGGGCACTGTGCTCGGCTCCATGCCACAGGTGAAGAAACTGTGGCTTTCAGAGGCCGAAGGACTGATGGCTGGAGAATGGCCAGGATCAGACCCAAACTGCTGTCTGTCTTCTGCCGGAGCCTGTGCTCTTTCCCAGTCGCCTGCAATTGCCTCCGCAGTGCATTCGCTGCAGCCAGGAAACCAAGGCCTCGTTTGGCAAGAAACTGCAGGTCTTTATATAGGCTATTTGCAAACATGGATATGTATTTGGAAGTGTCTCCTTACCTCCACAATATAGTCAATTCAGTTCAATTAAAAAAACAATAGCATCCACAAGAGAACATGTTAGCTCACTGAAAATGAGGAAGGTATGAGGAGGCTGGGCCTTTCCTGGATCTGGACTGGCTGCTGCCAGCCATCTGGTCTCTCTCAATGTTACGGAATTCCCTGAAAGAAAAGTCCATCATCTTTTTGATGTTTAACAATTCTCTGCATTATTTAGAATTTTTCATTCCTGGAAAGGGATGTCTTCTGGGAACCTTCCCCAAGAGAGCTGTCTGCGGAGTATGTTTTCCTCCCACAGTCTGCGGCCAGCTCCCCACCCAGCTGCGCCTTCCCCGTCCCTCCTCTCCCCTCCCCAAAGGGTCCCTAGTGGCACTTCCCACCCAAGGTCTTTTGGTGATGAAGTCTTTCAGGATGGGTTCCCAGTCTGGGGAAAACACGTGTTTCTGATCAATCTGGTGAAACACACTTCCACAAAGAAGGAACTTCTATATTTTCTACTTTCCTCATTCCCCACGTTACCTATAATTACTTATGATTTCGAGTGCTGAATGCTTGAAAGTGCTTCCCAGGCCTGACTGATTAAATGGCGCCTCCTTACATGTTACACATGGTCGAGTGTGCGTCTCCCCTCTTCACCAACTCGAAGGAAGAAAGGATTTTATTGTATGGGAGCCCATCTAGATAGACGAGACGTGCGCTGGGGTCTGTTCCACCTCATGCATCATCGCCGGACCACGTGCTGCATTCCGCCTCCGTCACAAGGGTGATGCAAGGGGCCGAGTGAGCGCAGCTGGCTTCCTGTAAATTAAAGGAGGCTCCGTCTCTTCTTGGCCCTTAAGAGCAGAGAATTAAATGTGAGCTGTAATCCCAGAGAAGTTGACATATCCCTTCTTGAGGTTGTTTTTCAACTGTCAACTTCCTATCAGCGACACAGTTGGTGCTCAGTAAATTCTAAATATGAATCATTACGCTGGATGCCCTAGAGTTGTTGTTTTTTTATGGGTTTACCTTCCTGCATGTTCATGGAACGGCACTCAGATTCTGGGCACATTTTTCAGATCTGTAACAGCAAGAGAATTTAAGAAAAGCTCTGCATTGCACTGCCTTTGTTACTAGATTCAGCAGGGGCAAAGGGAGGATTTACATGAGGTCTTTAGACCCCAATAATGTTGTGCAGTGAATAATGCTAATGGAAAGATGGAAACAGATTCCTGCGTGAGATGTTCTAGATGAATGCGATGATGGACTCAGAGAACGCTGGTTTTACTGGCTAGCGAGATATTCTCAGTGTGAGACATTCCATGCTTCCTTGGGCCTCTTATATGAACCCGGATTCGAAGGAAGTGATGCCAAAGAACGTGTGCTCCTGATCCCCACCCAGCACAGCTCAGGGGCAGCAGTGGGTCCCAACCAAACCCGTTGTCTTTGGTTTTTATGGTTTAAGATCAGTCTGCTTTCCCGTTGACACATCTCTATTGCTCATTAGCAGATATAACCACTTAAGTGTGGAGAGGAGAAGGCAACCACAGACCAGCCAGCAAGAGACTTCAGGCCTTCTGTGCCTCTGCACCACCTGCGAGGTGGGAGGGGCTTGGCTGACTCACCCTCCCCTTCCTGCCCCCATTCCCACTTTCAGCCTGTCCCCTTCCTTACCGTAGGGGATGTGACAGTGTGGCCAAAGGATTCTAACAGTGCAATGCTTCTGGGGACCTGACCACTTATAGTAAATTTGAGAAGGTGGAGGGGAATTCTAACAGGCATGGGGCTCCCCATAAAGTGTCTAACAATCTATTCATGGGGAAAATTGGGTCCACTTCGTGCATTCTCTTATCTTTACAAATAATGAATATAGTGAGTGCATCTTATCTTCATGATAATCAGTGCAATAAAAGATTCAACTTAAAGTTCAGAAATCTCTGAAGGCTGTTTCTGAGCAGCAGTCTGAGACTACGAACAGCGAGCTACAGGGAAGTTCAGGTCAACAACAAAACAAGCAGTTTGCTTTGTGGTGGGCTGAATGCCATTTTCACGAACAGCTGTGCCCAAATATACTCAGATGAAAAATGTAGCAACTGAGGTGACCTTAGGCAACATTTTCCTTTAAGGGGCTGGGCAGCAGACGATGCAAGGAGATGAGAAAAAATAGTTTATAAAGACCTTTCAGTTGGAAAAGAGTCACTTGGTTATCTTTTTAGTCTTAAACTTTGAGGAAATTTAAGTCTCACAAAAACTGTAAGATATCTGAGTGAAAGATCTGTCTCTGGGATGCTAGGAGGTTATCTGTTCTTTAATTAGATAAGCAGCATAGTTTACTGAGCAGCCCTGTCTCAAGCTGGGCACCTAGGTTACAAGGAGGACTGAAACCGGTCCCTGCCCCGAGGCAGCGTGGGAGGCAGCGTGCATGTTCAAATAGGCACCAGGGGGGTGCACAGGCTGCTGAGCACAAAAGCGGTACCTTGAGGGGATGGGAAGGGAAATTCTTTGCATACAGCAAATGTTCACGTGGGGAAAACACTGAGAAAGAGCCTCTGTGTTCAGTGTCGATTTTTGGTTTGACCTTCGTTTGCATCTTCTGTGACCTGCTGAGACCCTGTCACTTCCATTCTACTCTGCGTCCCTTGCAACTGCTTGGGACTGAAGCCCCCTATTGATTTATTTTACTGTTGTTCCGTTACTACTGGCCATGCAGGGCAGTGAAGCTGGCTCTGAACCACCAGATATATCACCAGGCTTTATCTTCATTTTTGGGATCTTGGGGTTTTAGGTCTTAGAACGATAAAGACATGGATTGCTGTGACTCTACCTCCTCATGTCCCATCCTCCCCTTCCTTCTGGCCCCCAGCTTATCCTTCCACTGTTCCCAAGGGAGGTTCCTGCTACTGCTTCTGCCAATACCATCATCCCATTTCCTGTCTGGGGTATTCTTCCTCTGGTATTATCTGCTTCCTCTGTCTGGCTTCCAGTATGAAGGACAGGGTGAAGAAATTCTCCACCCCGTCTCTGCTCCTTCATCTCGAGGGTGGTAAATGCTAGTCCTTTGGGGCAATTGACTTGGCATTTCAAAATGAAAGAGGGAGGAGAAGGGGGGAAGATTCCACAATAAAATTATCTTAATTTGAGATGCAGACCACAACTGCAGAGAACATCTGTTTTGAAGTCTGATGTTGTCTTTGTAACCAAGAGCAGAGCAGGGTGAGATCAGAGGGGGGCCTTCGCCTCCCAGCAGATGGAACCACCCGCATCCTGGGGAGGGGCCAGGAGCCTGCTCTCAGGGGCACCGAGCACCTTGCTAGGAGCCTGGTTTTCTTCCTCTGCCATGTTATTAAAGAACACTGGTTCTCCCGCCATCTCTGCTAATACCATCATCCCTCCACCTCCCCAGGAGGCCAATTTAGGACAACTTAAATTGGAATCCAAATTACATGATCCCCAAAGGCTCACAGGGCAGCGGGCCTTCTGCATTATCCTTGCCTGGGAGGGAGCCACATTCCTGGGAAACATGCTCAGGCTGCCACTCCGGGTGTGGGGGAAGCCTGAGGACCCTGTAGCCTTGCCTGGCAGCTGCCCGCCTCTTTCTGTGTGATTGGGGTCAGATTTTCTGCAAGCGGAATACGTGATGTCTAAACTGTGGATTTTAAAATGTCTCCTGGTCTGTGGATGGGGCCAATCCATCCCACATTGTTGGGGCTGCAGATGCAGCTGAATGGCTCATAATTACAGTCTAAAGAAACTGCAGACGGCGATGGAGCAAACCCAGACCCCTTTTCTCCTTACAGCCCATGCCAAACTGTCTTGCACAGGGAATGATAGTGTGGTTATCCTGTAATGTACTTGCCCCAAGCCAACACATTCAGTGAAGAGATGATTAGATTCCTAGAAATTCTCTGATCATCTATCTGTTCCTGTGTACCTTGTACCCTGCTTCGTGTCTCAGGGGGTGTCCGGCAACAGACCACGCTGAATGGCAGTGGCTTCCACAGCAAAAGCGCCATCTGTAAATGTAAGGAGCTGCCAAAGGAGAACTTCAATAATGGGGTCCCCTTCTAGTCCTGACGCTGCCTTTTTCAGGCTGTGTGGCCTTGGGCAGAATGACTGACTTACTCTCTCAAATTCGTTTTCCAACCCCTCTGGTAAATGGGAGGGCTGGACTTGTCTCTCTCTCTAAGAGACTCATCTAATTCTAACACATGACAAAGCCAAGACCTAGGTTTTGTCTCCAAAGAGCCACCACACATGATCTTCCTTCTGCATTGGAACCACAGCTTTCCTGTGGCTCTTAAAACAAATACAAGTGCACAGTTTTCTCTTCCAATCAGGTAGTGCTGGAGTTTCCCAACTGATACCAAAACTGGGTGACTTCTCAAATCAGGAGCTAAGGGAGGAGGCTTGGGGATATTTTTAGATTCGACATGGGCATCCTCCCGATCTCTGCCTGGAGACAGCTCAGGTAAATAGAGGGTCCACCTGCTCTGCAAAGGGGATGATCACAGAAAGACAGAATGTGATTTCTCCAATATTCTACCTTGTACTGGATCTTAACGACAGTAACAATGATTTAACATTAATCGAGCACTCTTTCTGACCTGGACACTGTGCTAATTTCTTTGTATGCATTTTTCTCATTTAATCTTCCAAACCACCCTAAAAGGTGGGTGCTATTATTATCCCTACTTGACACATGGAGGAGCTGAGGTTCAGGACTGTGTGACTTATGTGTAGTGATTCAGCGGGTTAGTTGGTAGAGCAAGAATTTGAACCAGAGCCTTACTCCATAGCCCACGCTGCTCACTTTCATCTTGGTTTTATTATGGAGAGCTTTCCCCAGGCAAATAGGCCCCAAGTCCTCTGCCCTCCCCCACCTCGCTCCCTGCCCCCCCCAGTCCCTCCTCCTGCTTCCCTCCTGACTGCCGCTCCCCTTCTTGCTCATTGTTTATTGTACCATCTAAACAATAGCTAATGAGTCTGTATTATTACATGGTAGGGAGAGCCAGGGGTGATTTTACTCCCTGAAACAGAGATGAGGTTATGACACAAGAAAGGTTAACTGGCTTTGGTGAGGTCACAGAGCCGGCCTGCATTCAGTGACAGTACCGTAGGAGCCCCCCACTTGGGTTCCTGAATTGACCTTAAGGCCTTTTGACATCAGAGTTCAATTAAGAGCCGTATTTTCATTTTTCTTGCACTCTCCGATTTTCCATTTTACGGCTGCTTGATAATGGGGGACGGAAGCTGCAAGGCATGCTCTGCTCCCTGCGTTTTCTAATCGCCCAGCTTATCACAGAGAAACCTCGGCTTCAGAGTTCAGCTTCAGAAGCCGGTTTCTGTGACGAGACTTGCCTTTTCTCAAAGAAAAACAGCCACAAACTCAGACAGGTTGTTAATTGAGGAGTTTTTCTTCATTTTAAAAAGAAATCTTACCTTCAAACCAGTAAATTAACATCTGTGAGTCATCAGCCTGTTCGGGACCAGCCGTTAGTGGTCTGAATGGTTTTGTACTTCACCTCTAACAAAGCCTGTGCTCGCTCGGAACTCAGAGGTCCTTCGGTTCGTCGAAGATCAAAATTCAGGAAATAGACACCTTATTCTAGCATGCTTCGGGAGAGGAAGAGTCTGTCTTCCGCGACTTTGAAATCAGGTGTATTTCAATATTTAGTTTTTATTGAAGTTGGGGTGGAGTTGAGGGAGGAATGCGACTGAGAACGTTTGTTTGTTTATTTATTTGCATACCCCAGGAGATTCTTATAAAAAATGGGACTATTTTCTTTATACAGTAAGTCCAGTTCCACACCCCTGTCCCTCAACTTCTGCAGCCTTTATTTTTTTGATCCTTACTGACAGGATGTTCCTGGTTTAAGAAGCCTCAACACTTGCTGGATGTAATTCCCCAGGCTTAAGGAATGCTTAACAATACAGTTCTGTTTTCTCCCAAGGTTGGGAGGAACAGAATTCCACATTACAAAAAACGCTAAGAAGTATGTCCTTGGTAGATTTTCCTTGCATGCCTTAAACATCAGATATAACCTAGGAACAGCTTGCCAAGTGGAAGGCAAGGCTCAGATGATCTTGTTTTGCTGGTGGGGAAACTGAGGCACAAATGAACAGGAGTGACAGGAGGGCTGGGGAATTAGAGGTTCTGCTCTGCCACGCCAGAAACAGGGCAGACCGACGTCAGAGTCACTGACACATTTTAGTTCATCTCCATAAACCAGAGCATGTCAGACTCACTTGATCTTTGACTTCGAAAGAGTTGGTGGCAGAGTAGAAGTCTACGTAACCAAGAAGTTGATGGCTCATCATTCGACACAATTTATGGACCATCTGCCATGTGTCAGGCACCAGGGTAGGCATTACTTTTAAGATATGGTAAGACAGAAATGGCGTCTAAAGTCCAGAAGAACATTTAGGAAAATCTACTTGTGTCCTAAAGAGAACAAAATTTTCATTGATCAAAACTGATTGATCAGGTGGACACTTGCAATATTTGAACTTGTCCATTTCAGTGCATCTTGTCCTAAGGGAGGTTTCAGCCAGAAGGTCAAAGGATAACTTTTGATAACGTCTATACTCATGATTAGCTCATCTTGGTGGAACTTTCTGGGAGGGCTCCTGGCTACGTCCCCAACCTTGCCACGTTGCCAATCCCGTTCCTTGGCTGCGACCGTCACACGGTTTGAATTTCTGTGCTTCAGTACTGCTGGGTTAGAGAAGGGTGACTGTCACGATGAGTTGCCACTGTTGAAGAACTGAAGGAACGAATCCCCCACTGCTAGAGTGGAAAGTGTTTATAGTTAATCAGGGAGGGTTCTTTCAGTGTTTCATTTTGGGGTGGGGGGTTGTCATTAGAAGCCTTGTGCGGGCTAGCCTGGAAAAGAAAGCTGTGAAGCCAACTGGGGAAGAGAGAAAGGACTTGTTCCGAGGAAGCTTTTGAAAACAGAGAAGTCCTCGTACTTGAATGAAAACAAAACCCATCATCTTCTTAAAACAACATCAATGAAACAAAATTTCTCAAAGCATCACTTGATTTGCTCAGTTCTTCTGCTAATGTATTCCTAGTGGGTAAGGCAGGATTGGCTTGAGATTTCTTTTCTTTGCGGCTCATTTGGATGTGTGAATGCACAATTCATTCATCAGCTGTTTCCCCCAGCTTTTCCCAGGATCAGAAATGTCTGTTCTTGTCATCTGGGGGCCAGCATTGTTTTCTCATACCTTTTGGAAACACAGCTGGATGACAACAATCCTTCAAAAATTAGGATGATCCCATACATGCAGTTTCCTCTGGTTACTGAAGGAGGGGCATGATTTGAAGTTTGAACCAGAAGTTCAAGATTTATTATACTTTCTATTCCTGGTGCCTTCCTTCATTTGTTGGGGAAAGCCTGCAAGTTAGAATGCTTCAGGGAGACTAAACTGGGATTAGATGAAGGTAAGCAGGTGTGTTACAATTTATCCGAGGCAGAGGTTACAGTTACAGGCATGTGTGGGAGTTCAGCGTAACATATACTTAGAAATTGGGAAAAAAATATCTATTAAAATAGCTTTCTCCGAGGTTGTTCAGAAAAATTTATATTTATTCTTCCAGTTACTCAAAGGTAGAACTCAATGTCTGGTCCTAGCTACACATATGAGTAGAGGTATGTGCTTCTCTATCTACTGATTGTGTTAATTAAGACCAGCTCTCTCCACTTATGATAACCAGTGCATCAGTGGCAGGTCATTAATTATTCAGGATCCTGTGTGGTGTCTGGAGTGTCTGCAGTTCCCAAATGGAACAGGGGCTGTGTGCTGTTGTTCTGTCATGGATGGTGTACTCCAGAAATTCAAAGCCACAGAGCCTCTGCATCCCTTTTTGGGGGTGGGAGTGGTGGTAGTTTCATCTAATAGAGGTAGCAGTCAGTTTCATCCAAGAGAGGAGAGTCTGTGAAAAGGAAGGACAAAACTTTGGCCAATGGTGAGATAATCAGAGGGATGGAACAATAGCTTCCCCCTTCTGCACCAGCACTGCTGTGGGGAAAACTGAAGCTCCTGGAAGCCCAAGACTGATTTTAGCCTGGGCTGTTCTGGACTCGCCCAATCTCCTGTAGCAGAATTTGGGCCTCTGTGTTTGGGGTCTCCGGTAGGCTGCCTTGGGCTTGATGCTTATCAAGGGCAGGTCCATCTATTCTTGATTGCTCTGGTGGATTCTGAAAGTGTCTCCAGAAACACTGTCCCGACTGATTCCTGACTCACGGGTTGGAGTCCAGTCTCCCTAAAGCCCCCTGAGGACACTGGCTCGCGAGTGTTCTACGCCTGCTTGCACGCATAACCCCTTCCTGGCATGCCTCACGTCCTGTGTGTCAGTCTTTGTGAATGAATGATGCACACGCACTTAGAAAACTATGCTGCTACCGGGAGAGGGCCTGAGCGGATGACCAATCCCTCAAGAATGCGTGGAGAATCAGGGGGACTTTTCCAAAGTGGTAGAGGAGGTTCCACACGCAGCCCCCTCCCCGCGGCCCTGCGCCTTCGTGCCCGGGACACCACCGGCCGAGCACACCGTTCCATGCCTACTACTCCGTGGCCTTTCAGCAGGGTCCTGGGGAGCCGGAGAGGCGCCGGGGGCTCCGCCCACCTTTCTTTCGCTTTGGGCGGCAGCTAGCAATTGGCCGCGGTCCTGCCAGCCGCCAGCCGCCCCGCCCCGCCCCTCCCACGGCCCCGCCCTCCCCCCCCTGCGGAGGTCCTGGTGGGGCGGGGTAGGGGTGGGGGGGGGGGGATGAGGTTGGGGGAGTGGGTGAGGCGGGCAGTGGGGAAAGAGGCGCAAACCCAGCGCCTAGCTGCGCTCAGAGAGAAACGCCCTAAAGAGGAGGGAAGAGCGCGCGCGGGAGGGAGGGCTCCAGGGAACGGGGACGAGCTGAGGCAGCCGGCGGCCGAGAGGAGGGAGCGGGCACCGGCGAGGAGGGAGCGCCGCGGCACAGGCGAGCCTGGGACCCGGAGTGCGGACTTTCCCGCAAAGTGCCAACTTCGCTAGAGAGTGCTGGGCGCGCACCTTCTGGGCGCGGGGGAAAGGTGGCGAGAATTTGAGATTTTTAGGGAAGAAAATCGGATTGCTCCCGTCCCCTTTCCCCTGTTACAAATCCCCATTAAAAAGACAAACAAGAATAACAGCAAACTTGCCATCATCCTGTCTGTCCCCTACTCCTGGCACCATGAAGGCGGCCGTCGATCTCAAACCTACTCTCACCATGATCAAGACGGAAAAAGTCGATCTGGAGCTTTTCCCCTCCCCGGGTGAGTGGTGACCGCCGAGGCGCACACCCCAGCCCTCGGCCAGGGTCTCCTCCGCTTCTCTCTGCCTCTCAATTTCCTTCCAGGCAGTGCGTTTCTGCCTGCGGGGCGATGCTGGTGGCAACTGGAGAGAGGAAGAGGAGGACTGTTGGTGGCCTGAGACCCTTGTTTGGGGAGTGGTATTTATTTTCACAGCTGTGGTTTTGTGAGGAGTGGGAAAAAGCTTATAGAATGTTCAACGCCCACATTCCCGTTTCTTTATTTGTCCAAATGAGCGAGAACCCTCTGGCTTTATCCCTAACGTTGGGGGGATGAACACTGTCGCAGAAGATATCAATCCCCTGACTCCGTGTCCCCCAGAAATGGACCTGATGGGGGGCCCTGAGCAGTAAGAGGGGAAAAGGTGTCTAGCTGGATGGCCCCCAAGGGCATTTTCAAATGTCTTGCCTTCCTGAGCTCCCTGTCACATGCCCCCTTGCTTTCTAGCTCCTCTTTTCTGGACTGAGGACGAGGAGATGGGAGGAGAATTGAAACACACATCCTAACTTCAGGGAACATACTGATTCTTTTCATGCAGATCACTCACTTTATCCATCTTTCTAATCTACCATAAATTTGCCCTCTGGTGCTAAAGATTTGTTAGAAGAGGGAAAACGTCCCAACACCCATCGTGACTTTGAGTCGTCTTTGGTTAAGTGGGTGGTGTTATCCTCCTCTTAGATTTTTTTAGGAAGAAAGGGATAAGAAAGAAATTTCATTTTGTCCTAGGCACGATTTTTGGTGCTAAACAGTTTAATGGAGTCTGACACTCCATTATTCATGGAGTAAATGCAGTTTAAGAAGAAAAGATGATTTCTTTTAGGTTAAGGAACTGCCAGCTATCCTTGGAGATTAGTGATTCTGGAGGTAAAGCTATGTAGAAGGATACAGAGGAAAGGTGATGCTTTCTGGAGAATAATTAACTGCAGTAACGTGCTGCTGTGTATCAGCTGATCAATGCGTTGAGCTGCTGCTGCTGCTGCTCCGGTGGCTTGCTTACACACTTAATGCCTCTGCCATAGTGAGTTGCTTATTTGAACTCTTTCTGAATTTGCTTCAAGTTTCAACCCAAGCCAAGCCTCTGTTTTGTCATTTGGAGATCCCCCAGAAATGTTAATGAAGACATGGCATGTCCTCTGCTCTTGGACTGCCTAACGCTCAACCCCAGTATTGATCACTGGGAAGCGCACAAAGAAGGCTGGCGCTTGTTTGTTGTCACAGGGATGACGAAGGATGGTCAGAGCGATGCTGAGATCATTTAGGGCCTTAGGCACACTGTCGGCACTTAAAGCTGCAATTCAAAAATGATGTTGCGAAGACGGTTTCATTTAGGGTGTTCGAAGAAGCCAGAATTAAGTTCTTTAGTCACAGCTGATTCAAACCATGTATACGAGAAGTGACAGGGTAGTTCTTAGCAGAGATACAAACTCAGCTAACAGGTCTCTTCCTTCAGAACAGCTTGTTCAGGTGTGTGTTCGCAGATTGGGTCATGGGGGAATATTGAGTAGATATGTCAGTTCACACACCTACAGTGGGTCCTGTGTGCTGGAATGAAACAGAGTTGCATATGTTTTAGGTCACAGAAAAACAGTTAAACAATTTTGAAGGGAATTAAATGTTAAATATTAGGGATTTAAGTATATTATGCTGTTATTTTGCTTATTGATAAAAAATAAACCCCGAGTATGTAACTACCTTAGTTTTTCCATCTGTAAAATGGATAGAGTAAGGCCTACCGCATTGGTCACAGCCATTATAAGAAGCACCTTAATTTGTCTCTCTTTTTAGAAAAAGGTTTACAAGTCACTGGTTAGGTTTTGTAAATGGCCTTCACTGCAATACGATTTCAACTGGTTAAAGAAATTGGGCAGTCATGGTAATGAAAATCTGCCATTCATTGTAATGAGATTTGATTTCTGGCACTGTCTTGGGGAAAAGAAAGGAAGAAACTTGAAAATACATATACAGAATACAGAATAACCAAGTTTTAGTTCATTTAATTCTGAGTGTTTAGAAACATGTGTGAGCGTGACAGCCACACCTTAGAGAGGGAAGAGGGAAACAGGCACAGAGAAGGTAAGTCATTTACCTAAGACTATCTAGTGAACCAGCCATTGCAGTAAGATGAGTCCATGTTTCTCACTTGGCAGTGCACCGTTGCGTCGGGTGGTACCTTTGAAAAGCTCGGCAAAGAAACTTCAGTTGCGACTTTAACTTGCAGGTGCAAGGATGGAAAAAACATTGGTCTGACTGCCTGCTTTTATGGTGGGAGGAGAAGACACTGGCGGAGTGAGGATTTGCTTTGCCTAGCAGACCATGCAGGACATGTGTTTAAAGTTTAACTTCTCGCAGCGTGGCTTTGTGTCCACAGCTGTGACTTAAATATTTGTCAGAATGATCCTTGGGGGTATTTCGTTTCTTATGTGTGGGGACAACTAGTTTGGTATCTTATCTGGTTTAAATGATTAAACCAAGCTGCCCCACCCCGTCCCCGACTCCCATTCTGTGAGAGTTAAAGTCAGGCAGGGGGGAGGTGGGGTGTAGAGACAGGAGTGCTGGGTCACCTATTTGCCTGTCTTTGTGAATAGGACTTGGTCAAGGACCTTTATTCTAGATTGAGACCTCAAAGGGGTTTTGACAGCTTTCAGTAGATACTGAATTTTTCTGCTGAATGGTAAGATATACCATGTTGATTGCAGCGTGCAATGGCAGGGATCTCAGATCTTAAATGGGCTAACCAGACAAAGCTATTTAGTGTCCATGGAGTTCCCTCCTGGTGTGGATCTTGCAGCTTAGGGGTGGGGCTGGGGGGCAGAGCAAATACATTCCCAAGCCGCTTCATTTTTTTCTCTCCTTCGCACCGCACCTTCCTGGTGAGGTGAGTGTAATGCCCACGGAAGAGCGGGGGTTCCGATTCTGGCTGTGTGCTGTTTTACAGAAATGAAAAGTTTCAGTCACCTTCCAGCCCCAACAGAGGATGTCCCTTCTTTGGGGACCTGTATTGTCCTCAGAGATAGGGAGGAGCTTTGTCTCTCTCCCAGTCTCTTTCATCAGTCACTGTATCTTCATCCGTGTGGACAAGAAAGGAAGGCAGAGTAGCCCAGGCTACTAGGATTGCTTGCTCACTGTCCATCCAGATCCCCAAGGACCACAGTCCATTAATGACTAAAGAGCCCAGCAGTTCAGAGGTGGGATTCTGGAGCCAACCTGTCTGAGTTTGCATCCCAGCTCTGCTCCTTCCCAGCTGCATGACTTTGGAAAAATTGCTTAATCTGTCTGTGTTCTAGCTCCTGCATTTCTAAAATGAGTGTGATAATTGTTCTACTTCATAGGTTGATATGAGAATTAAATCCATTAACGTGTGTAAAATCTTAAAACAGTGCCTGACCCATAATACATTATATTTAGCTGACTGGAAAACAAATCAACAACAACAACAACAAAAAACGATCCTGATTGGTGTAGAATTTTCAGGGGCTCTTGAAATGTGTGATAGGGGCTATCACTGTACGATGCGCCTCTATACTTACAAGAAGAGCAGAATTAAAGAGAACCTTTCCACCTGCTTAGCTGAGATCTTATGCTCATTCTGTGCCCCAGAGAGCAAACACTGAGATGGGTGACTTTCAGAGTGTCAGAGGATCTCAAAGTCTCCACTCTCAGAGCCAAAGGCCCAAGGGTCAGTTGGTTACTTTGGGTGATGGGCTTTGTCAATGCTACTGAAGAGTAAAAACGCCACCAAGACTGGAGGTCATGGGGATATTTGCAGGGCTGATGGAAAAGTAGAGTATTTCAATTATGCAGACTTGAGAAATGCATCATGTCCAGTTATTATAAAGTATCTCACATTTTATTTATTTATTTGGTTGGCAGAGCTTGCATTCCTGGCATTTTTGGTTGGTTTGTATTGCTGTTTTTTTTTTTTGGTCTGTGTAACTTTTTTTCTTTCTTAAAGAGACCAGACCACCCTGGAGGAGATCCCCTCTTTTTAGGAGACAAAACAGCCGTGCTCAGCCTCCCAGAGCCCAGCTTGCCCTGGCGCCCATCAGAATCTCTGCAAACCCAGAGCTGGTTAGTGTAGGTCAGGATTTTTCAAGAAAGTAGGACTCCCTATTTCTAAGAGCACAGATACCTCTACAAAGGCTGCAGCAGCAGCACAATTAGATGCCTGTCTGGGTTGTGGAAGGAATGACCCACGGCTGTGGTGGCATTCCAGGAGTTTGCACTGAAGGTAGATTCGTGCATTCACCAGTTATGGGGGTCTTCCGGAAGCACATAATGAGCCTGCCTTATGTACTTGGCATTTGAACATAAAATTGCACGTTTACATTCCACACTAACTCTGGGGTGGGGGAGGCCTTATTTTATCTATTTTGAAATGAAGGAAATGATATTCAGAGAGGTGCACAACTTGCCCAAGGCCACACTATTAGAAAATTACAAACCGATGAGCTGTTGCAGGCATTTTGGGCCTAAAGTAAAAACACTGTATTATCCATAGAAACTCTGGACATTGAAAGAGGGAGGCGTATGAGAAGGCAGTGGTGTTGGTGCTTCGGGGGTTGAAAAGGTACAGGGTCTCCCAACCACCCTACCTGACTTTCCTGAGCCTGGGGAAAGGGTATCTCCATGCACTGTCTCCAGACCTGGCAGTCAGGTGTGCTGCTTTAGGAAGGCGCAGGAAGGTTCAGCAATGCTTGCCTACAATCACCAAGCAGAGGACCAGGGTTCTTAATTTCCCAGAGTATTCCAGCGTATTCACACTCTCGCAGGTAGGGAGGTGATTGTGTTCATGTCCAAGGACACGCCTTTCCCAGAGCCTCCCGATTCTGCTTGCTTGCCCCTTTCATCATGGACACTGCTCTGCACATCATCTCACAACCTGGGTGACAAGAGACACAGATCAGCAGTGAGTTCACTTTTGTTATATGGTTGTAGTTTAATTTTTCTGCTTGCAAAGAGGT